ACATCCATGATAATTTTGATTTCGAGAAATCAACGAGAGACTTTCTTGATTCTGAATCTGAAGAAGAGATAGTTTGTAATCACCAGAGGTCATTGAGGATAAGAAGCCTCAAAACATCAAACCCTCAATGAAATCTAATGTTCTAGCATCTATGAAAACTTCAGACAAAGGAAAGGGAAAGTTGACCAACACCATGTCTGCTAATGATACCGCACAAGGCCCAAGTACCTCTTCTAAGTTTATTAAGTTTACTCGCGAGCAAAAACAGAAGTGGCCTGCCTTTGAGAATTCGAACCACCACTTTTCCTCTCATTCAGCTGAAGAAAAACAGTCCTTCCTCAGAATAGAAGTAAAGACCAAGCCTTCCACAAATAAAAAATCTGAACTAGATATGAAGTTTGTAAAAACAGCCGATGCTAGGACATGATTTTCATCCCCTGCATTTACTTCTTCATTTTCATTGAATAAAAAGAAAGTTATACATTCATGTCCTAAAAATCTTATTTGCCAATGTTTAGCTCTTTTACAAAACCTGAGGAACCACATGTTAACACATCGCTGCATATTTTCCAAACACGTCTATCGCTATAATGTTAAAACCAATGAAAACGTGAAAAAGCCCAAGTCTAAGGGCAAGGGAAATGCAAACAAACCCAAGCTTACAAAGGCTAAGGGTAATGGACATCAGCCCACTCCTAAGAGTGCTGATGAAAAGAGAGAGGTCGTATCTCCCACTAACCAACGTGGACCCATTATGAAATGGGTACCTAAAACCCCTTAATTTGTCTTGCAGGACCAACATGTGCAACCATGGTATATGGATTCAGGCTGCTCCAGGCACATGACTGGTGACAAAAAACATCTCCATCAGCAAAGTGGCTTATGTTGAAGGTCTGAAGCATAACTTACTAAGCATAAGCCAGTTCTGCAACAAGGGTCTTGAAGTCCGATTTCGCAAGGGTTTCTGCATCATCGAAACACATCCCCGACCAAACCATCATCAAGGCAAAGAGAGAAGGGAATCTCTATCTTCTAGATTTTCAATCCTTTATGGGACAAGACACCCTCTACCTTGTATCCCATAAGAGCGATGAAAATTGGCTATGGCATCAAAAGTTCTCACATCTCAACTTTGATGTTCTAAGGAAGCTAGCCAAACAGAAGCTGGTCAAGGGGATTCCGGATCTCAATTTCAAAAAAGACCATATGTGCTCAGCCTGTGAGATGGGAAAGCTAAAACGGGTCTCTCATAAAACTAAGTCAGAAACCTCCTGCACCAAGCCCTTGGACATGATCCACATAGATCTCTGTGGGCCCATATCTACACAAAGCCTCTCTGGAAAGAAGTACATATTGGTAGTAGTTGATGAATACTCCAGATACACCTGGGTTGAGTTTGTAAAGAAGAAATCAGATGTTCCTGACCTACTCATTGGGGTGATGAAAAGGCTCCAAGTCCTTCTACAACGCAAACTCATAAAAGTTAGAAGCGACAATGGAACTGAATTCAGAAATGCCAGAATCGATGAATACCTCATCAGTGAAGGCATTTCCCAAAACATTTCAGCAGCCAGAACTACACACCAGAATGGAGTGGTGGAGCGAAGGAACAGAACCCTCGTGGAAGCAGCAAGGACCATGCTTGCTTCATCGGAGTTACCTATCACCTTCTTGGCTAAAGCTATTTCTACTGCCTGCTTCACCCATAATTGGTCTATTTATCAACAAGAGGCACTAGAAGACACCCTATGAGCTCATCAATCAAAGAAGACAAAATGTCAAATATTTTCATGTCTTTGGGTGCAAATGTTTTGTACTCAATGACAGGGAATATCTTGGAAAGTTCGACAAGAAAGCAGATGAAGGGATCTTTCTGGGATATTCTCAAACCGCAAAGGCCTATAGAGTCTACATCAAAAGGACAAAGATTGTCATCAAAAGCATCAATGTGTCCTTTGATGATTCCACACCAATGACTTATGGACACAACAGTTCAGGACTCGGACTTCAACAAAGGGCCTCTGATTCATCACTTGGCAAACCCAATGAATTAGAGTTAGCTCATTTATTTGAAGACATCTTCGAAGAAGAAGTAGTATCTGGACATGCACCTACTACTAAACCTATTTCCAGAGTCAATGAAGAACATGAAGTATCCAATGCAGAAGGTACATCTCTTCCTAACACTCATGTTACTTCACCTTCTACTTCTTTTGTGTCTTCAGAACCAAAACAATAACCAGAAGATAAATATGGAGATGATCTCTTCGAGGGGGAGCAAGCAGTTCCGTCGGCCGATGAAGAACTGCATCCTGTTGTTCCAAAACCCCAATCGTGCACCAAGTGGACAAAAGACCATCCACATCACCAAATCATTGGTGATCCAACATCCGGTGTCAAGACGAGATCTGCAACAGCAAATGAATGCCTCTTCGCCAACTTTCTGAGCATGATCAAACCGAAGAAAATTTCTGAAGCCCTACAAGACCCAAACTGGATAGATGCATTGCAAGAAGAACTACTTCAGTTTGAGAGAAACAAAGTTTGGTCCCTTATACCTCTACCCAAAGGGAAAACGACCATAGGAACCAAATGGGTCTTCAGAAACAAGAAGGATGAAGATGGCATAGTCATAAGGAACGAGGCCAGGGTTGTTGCCAAAGGCTATTGCTAGGAAGAAGGGATTGACTATGATGAGACATTTGCTCCCATCGCAAAACTTGAAGCCATCAGGATATTCCTAGCCTACGCAGCACACAAAGGCTTCATGGTCTACCAGATGGATGTCAAGTCTGCCTTCCTAAACGGTAAGCTTCAAGAAGAAGTATACGTACAGCAGCCCCCTGGGTTTGAAGATCCAAAGCATCCAGAGTACGTCTACTTTCTGGACAAAGCAATCTATGGGCTGAAGCAAGCACCCAGGGCCTGGTATGAAACTCTCTCCACCTTTCTCATCAACAATGGATTCGAAAAAGGTACCATCAATACAACCCTCTTTCTCAAGAAGCATAAAGGTAACATTCTACTTGTACAAATATATGTGGACGATATCATATTTGGTTCTACCAATGCAAAATTTTGCAAAAAATTCTCAGAGCTGATGAAAAACAAATTTGAGATGAGTATGATGGGGGAACTTAGTTTCTTCCTTGGTCTTCAAATAAAACAAACTTTAGAAGGGACTTTCATCAATCAGTCCAAGTATGTGACTGACCTTCTGAAGAAATACTCTCTCTCAAATTCATCATCGATGAGAATACCTATGGCTACAGGAGCTAAGTTGATTGTTGATCCATCAGGACTCGGAGCTAATGTCGAAAAAGGTACAATAAAGATATACTTTGTTCCTACAGAGATTCAACTTGCTGACATTTTCAAAAAAGCTCTTGATTAGAAAATATTTTTATTTCTTGTCAGCAAGATGGATATGCTGAATCTCACCACTTAGAAGCAATCCTTAGTTTGAAGCCAAAGATCCTCAACATCTCATGGTTAGGCCTACAAGTGATATATCTATGGCCATAAACACCAAGTACTCTAAACCAGAGCCTCTGGTTCTAAAGACCAGAGCCTCTAGCCAAATTAGAAATACTTGTCTAAATTTTGGCCCAATATTTTCATCGCCTTTGGAACCAGAGCCCCTCTGGTCCAAAGCAAATACGTTGTGATTTTTTCACTAAGTATCCCCTTTCACGACCAGAGTCTCTGGTTATATAGACCAGAGCCTTTTGGTCTCAAAATTGGTCTCCCTCATTCATTCATATATATTAACTTAGTCATATTACATCATTTATGAAACCATAGCCTCTAGTTCCAAAGACCAGAGCTTCTGGTTTCCAAGTCCTTTGTGACAGAACTCTCTGGTCCAATTTGGACATCACATACATCATAATATTACAAAAAAAACATCATTTTTTGCATTGTCTTCTCAACCAGAACCACTGGTTCTAAAGACCAGAGCCTCTGGTTCAAAGTCTTTGGAACCAGAGCCCTCTGGTCCCAAAGGCCCATCCTATTCATATCCATTCACATGAACTTAACCAAAATCCATATATGTTTTGATCATCATTCACAACCAGAGCCTCTGGTTATATAGACCAGAGCCTCTAGTCATCAAATTCAACCTCCTTATTGATTCTAGGGGGAGTTTTTAAACTCAATACACATCCCCATGCATCATTTGAGGGGGAGTTTTACATTCATTATAAAGCCTTTCCATTACACAACTATGCATTTTCCAACCCACAGCCTCTGGTTCTACTATCCAGAGCCTCTAGACACCAAAAATGCTAAATTATGGATTAAACATCCCTTCATTCAACCGGAGCACCTCTGGTCCTACGTTAAGGGCATGTTTTCAAATCTAAGGGTTTTCCATGCTAAACCAAAGCCTCTGGTTTGCCTATCCAAGGCCCCTTATTCAAAAAACCCAACATTCCATCGATGAACAAGTTCATCACCCACAACCAGAGACCTTTGGTTCCCCTCCAAAAAGTCATGACCAACCAGAGCGCCTCTGGTTCCATGACAAAATTAATTTTTACCCAAAAACCCATCTTTAATTGAAAACATTTTCAAGATTATACAAAATTGCAGCTTTTGTGACTAAAAACTATACAACATGGGTTGAGGAGAAGAGAAGAGGGAGGAAGGCCCTTGTTGTGGAGAGAAACGATGTAGACAGAGCCTCAAGCTCTGAAGATGATGACATCAGTGCTTTTGCACATTCCTTGGCGTTGATCACCAATGAATTTCAAAGGAAGTTTGGGAAGAAAGTCTTCGACAAGAGAGGTAGTCGAAGTGACAAGAGTAGAAGCAGAGGCTTCGAAGGAAGGAACCCTCCTTCTGTGCCAAACAAGGAGGAAGAGCAGTCGGAACAGAAGAAGCATGCTGTCAGTGGGAAGATGGGCCACTACTCCAAAGAATGCAAAGGCCCTTTGGTGAAATATGAATTGTACTATAAAAATAAGTACAAGTATAATCGATCCCAAAGGAGCCTTATGGCTGAACAAAATAATTGGGTCTTTGACTCGTCGTCTAAAGAAGAAGACCGAGCCCACTTCTGTGGAATGACTATTGAGAATGATGCAGAAGAGTCTGGATCTGGCTCCGACTCCCAGGTATGTTCTACCTCTGGTTATTCTAATTTCGATCTGGAAGAAAGCATCTCTGCTTTAACTCACGATTTCATAAAACTACAGCAAAAATTCTCTGTCGAGAAATCTAAAAGGAAATCTTTGGAAAAAGAAAAATCTTTTTTTCTAATGTGAGACAAAGTTATTGATTGTAGAAAAACAAAAGCTACCGGTGGAAAAAGAAAAACTTTTAGAAACAAAAGGTTCCACTGAAAATAGTCTTAAATGAGAGTGCTCTGAACTGAAAGCGGCCATACAAAAGAAGGAAAAAGAACTTTTAGAAAAAGAGTGTGACAGGCTAAATTCTGAAGCCTAGAAAAATTATTTTCAAAAAGAAAGGGAATTCCTACATCAGAGCTTGCAAAGAAAAGAGCTCTTGATTAAAAAGTATCAAGATGCTCAGCAGGTGTATGAAAAGGTTAATTCCCAACAGGCTAAAGCAGGTATAGGTTATACAGACCTAGACCTCACCTAGAAGAAGAAATCCACTCTTGAGTCTGTGTTTAGGTTAGGGGCAGAGCAAAAACCAGATTTTCCATCTCTGCATAAAAACTCACCTTTCAAAAGATGTAAACTTGAGTATGGGGCCAGAATTCAAAAGTTAAAGTTTGAGAACATCTCTTATTCTGCAAAAAGTATGCAACAAGTTGATCTAAATATTATACAGAAGACAGAGGGGATTTTCTGTTTTGGCTCTAATAATCTTGAACATCTTAAAACGAATGGTGATGTGGTTAAACCTGAACCAGATGAAATCAAGAGTTCATGAACAGATAACTTTGTTAAAACTCTGGATCCAAAGTTAATGGATGACTTCACAGAAATGGTGACACAAGTCTTTGAGCAAGATTTGCTTGAGGCCTTGAATTATTGTTAGGACTGAAAATCAGTGTAAATTGTATTCGACTTGAAAGATTAATTTTGTCTATAATTGTTGTATAAAGTCATCGTGTTTAACTTTTCTATAGATAGTTTGACTTTGACTAGGCTTTCTAGTTTGACCCTATATAAAGGGTTAGTCTTTGTAATTTTAGAGAGGTGTTGATTAGAAATTTGACAATCTTTTTGTCCGGATATCTAATCCGGATAAGCTTGTCCGGACTTCTAATCCGGATAAATCTTTGTGATTAAAATTTTTAAGTCTTGAATGTGTGTACAAATTCCTGTGTGCGATTTATAGAGATAATTCTTGAATTTTAATCCTTGAAATCAAATTTTGAACTGCATAAGATTCGATATCATATTAATCAGATATAATGAGTTCAAGAGAATCAATGGCTATTGGTACTGATACCAAGCCACCAGTTTTATTCAAAGGAGATTACAACCAGTGGAGAGACAAATTTCTAAAATTTATTGAAAAAATGAAAGAAGGTGAGCTGATCATGGAATCTCTGATGGAAGAACCTGCAGTATTCTGGAGAGAAACACCTGCCATCCCTGATGAAGACAGACCTGCTCAAAGAGTAATGAAAGAGAAGTCCAGATACACTGCTGAAGAAAAACAGAGAGCACATTCTGATGTGTTGTGCAAGTCATATATGATGCAAGCACTGACCAATGACATTTATACAAGCATTGACAGTCACAAATCTTCTGGTCACAACATATGGGTGTAGATAGAGAAGATGATGATGGGTTCCAAGATGGGAACTTAGTTAAGAATCACAAACTGTATTTCTGCATATGAAGAGTTTAAGGCTAAAGGAGAGAGCCTTGATGATGTATATGATAGGCTTACCAGACTGCTAATTGAGCTTACCAAGAATGGCATTTCTAAAACTGTCATTAAAATTAATGTTAAATTCCTCAGCAACTTACAACCGGAGTGGAAGCCTTAGGCCAATCATATTAGATTCAATAAATCCTTATCTGATATCGATATACACGAGGTTTATGAAACTCTGAAACAGAACTAGAAAGAAGTTTTATAGGTCCGAGATTCAAAGAAGAAAAAAGGAAAAGGAAGTTTATGATCCTTTAGCCTTTCTATCTGAGAAGAAGAGTTAAAGCAGATCTGGGAAGCAAGTGAAAGAGATCAGTAGTTAAGTGAATCGTCAAGTGAAGGGAGTGACAGCTCAGACTCAGACTCAGACTCAGAGATGAATGAATTCAAACATGCCATGGAAATGCTTACCAAAGCATTTCAGAAAAAGTTCCAGAAGAAACCGCACTCGAATAATCAGAGATTCTCTTCGGGTTTGAAATATGAATTTAAAGATAAATTCGGTGAAAAGAAGAAGTATGATGAGAAAATATATGAAAAGAAATACAAAAAGAAACCTGAAGAGAAGAAGAAGTTTGTCAAAGGAGTTGTGGATGAAAATACCAAATGCTACAACTGTGGCAAATTGGGTCATTTTGCGGTAAATTGCTGAAAGCTGGTAACAAGGAATACCGACTTTTATAAGAACAAATTTCTTCTGTCTAAAAAACGAGATGTGGGTAAGGCATTAATGGTTGAGGATGACCATTGGTTAAACTTAATCAATGAGGAGGAAGAGTCAGAAGTTGTGGCTCACATCTATTTGATGGCTAGGACTGAAAATCAGTGTAAATTGTTCGTCTTGAAAGTTAAATATTGTCTATAATTGTAAAAGTCATCGTGTTTAACTTTTCTAGAGCTTTGACTTTGACTAGGCTTTCTAGTTTGACCCTATATAAAGGGTTAGTCTTTGCAATTTTAGAGAAGAAGCTCATTTGTAATATCATTTATGTAATAAGAGATTTGACCAGATTGTGAAGTTTGACTTTTTCTCTCATCTCTCTCAAAGTGTTCTTAATGCTATACCAAGATTCTGCCATGGATTTGTATTAGAAGCATGAAGGTTGATTCAAGTGGAACAACAATTGGTATCAGAGCAGGAAATGCAAAGAAATCAAGAGAAGAAATCTGAAATTTGAAGAATTTTGGAAGAAAATTTTCTGGAATTTTATTTGTTCTTCATTTGTGTTCTTCATGTTCTTGACATGTTATTGAGTTTGATCCGAAAATCTTTCAAAATCTCTGTTTGTGTGTTAAAATTTTGATCAAATTGTACGTAATTGTTTTGTGAATCTTTGTTGTTCACAAGATTTTATGTTTTGATCATTTGTTTTCAAGTTTTTGTTCAAATTTGTGTTTTGAATTTTTTTTGTGTTCTTGGTATATTTCATCAAAAAGTCAATTTTGATCCATTTTTGTGTATGGATTTTTGAAGTTTTTGTGTTTCTGTCATAATTTGATCGTTTTTCATCTTTTAAATCGTTCAAAGTTTTGTTTTTGACTTGTTTGGATTCCTTAAATCGATCAAGATCTTGGACTAAGTGTGTGACCTGATACAACCTTGATCATTGGATAATTTGAACGGATTGGTTTAAATCGCTCATTGTTGTATTGTCCGGACTTCCTTTGTTGTACTCTAAATCGCTTACCATCTTATTTGGCTTGACCGGATTATCATTTCATTGCAGACTTCCTTGTCCGAGCTTCTCATAAATCGCTCATAGGCATTTTCGTATAACTAGTTCATCGCCTGTAGCTGTGATCGGATTAGGACTTGGTTTATTTTGTGTTTTCTATATCGCTTGGCATGGTACTAAATCGGACAATAAAGTAGTCGTATTAAGCTTACAGTGTTCAACTAACCATTCGGATTAATCATTCATTGTGTACCTCATTGATCGAACTTGCTCTACATCGCACATAGGTGTAACACCCCAAATCCACACATTGCATATAACACATATTTCATATATAGAATACATGTTTTCCCACATAGGTCCTTGATACAAGAGTCTATAATATAAAATACACAGCCCAAAAATTCCAAAAGTACATACTCTTGCATCCTAGCATCTACGCTTCCAAAACAGCTAAACATATAGGGAAGTAATTCACATAATACACTTTCCCTTATCATTCCTTGCACACATAATTTTGAAAACACAAAAATGAGGGTTAGACATGAATGTCTAGTGAGGTTCCCTTCTATGTAATGCAGGGTGAAGATCACCAAAACGTTTATTTGAAATCAATCAATGTTAGCTCTAATATTTACTTAATGTAAAAGTATGAAAATGTATTCTGCAAGTGTTGACAGAAGGGTATCTTCCACAGAAGACAACAGAGGACCAGCAACATAAGCTGTTTCATCGTGCAAGTCAAGAATGATAGAACCTCTGTTGTCTCTCACAGAGGTTCTAGAAAATGGTCCTCTAGCAATAAGAACCTACAAGTCTTCTACAGCAGAGCCTCTGAGATGGCTCACAGAGGGTCTGCGGATTCGTCTTCTGTGAAGATCCTGTTCTGCTGTTTTTCAAAGGTTGTTAGCTGCACGTGCATCTCACGTGACTAGGTCTTTAATCGACTTTATTTGGACGGATTTGATGATTTCACACGTCTAGGTCGTGTCAGAAAGGTCGTTAGGAACTAGTATAAATAGCAGCTTAGGCCTTTGTAATTCAGTGTGCTTCCATATTGTAATCGTCTATATTTTCAATCAATTGAAAAACCTTTGAAGCTATTCTATTGCGTTCATCTTCTTCATATCAATCTGTGTGTTCTTGGTTAATTACTCTGTTGTGTTCTTATCATTGTTTCCGCTGCACTGTAATCGTCCTAAAGATCATCCAGAGTAAGAGATCAAACAGGGATTCATGTCGGTGATTGAATATGAAACAGAGTTCAATCGGAAGCTTCAGTTTGCCCAACGGTTCGTACCAAGTGAAAAGGACAAGATTAATCATTTCATCAACGGTCTTCGACGGAATATTCGTGAATTCGTCACCAATCGCGACGTACCATCATTTACCAAAGCAGTTGAGTATGCAAGGAAACAGGAGCATGACCTGAGTCTCCCTGATGGTTCTGATGTACCGGAGAAACGATCGAGAGTTAAGAGAACCTTCTCGACCCCGACACATAAATCATCTCGATTCTTCAAGTCGAAAAGAGCTCAATCGCATAATACACCACATACTACCTCACAGGCATATACAATGCAGTCAAATACGCCACAGAACTGCAACCGATGTGGCAAGAATCACCAGGGACGATGTAGTGGTGATCAAACCTATGTACGATGCTTCTGTTGTGGTGAAGCTGGGCACATACCAACTCAGTGCCCTCAAAGAGAAAAGGCATGTTATAATTGTGGTGTGTTAGGTCATCATATGCGAGATTGTACAAAGAATAGACTGGAGGAAAGTAAGGGGTCGGTACAACAACCGAGGCAACGATCGATGCATACAACGAGGGCTTCGACCAAAAAGGAGGAGGTTCCGAAACCTCAGGTCAGGGCATTTCAAATTACCGCGAAGGAAGCCATGAACGATCCCGACGTTGTTRCGGGTATATTTCTTGTTAATTCTTGGCCTGCTCGTATTTTATTTGATTCTGGTGCAACAGATTCCTTTGTGTCAAATGATTATGTTCGCTATATTGAATCCGTGCCTACTATGCTTGAAAAACCTTTTGCTGTTGACACTGCGAGTGGAGTACCATTAGTTGCTGATAAGGTATTTAGAGAGTGTACATTGCTTTTAGATGACTATGAATTTCTTATTGATCTCATTCCCACGGATATACATGGATTCGATGTTGTTATTGGTATGGATTGGTTGGCAAAGAATCAAGCCAACATCATATG